GTAGACTTATTTCAGACCTCGCCCCCACCTCGAAGATGACTACTCTTCGAGCGCTGCTACACGTAGCAGCACAGCGTAACTACGAGCTCTACTCCCTTGACTTCTCCACAGTGTTTCTTCAGGGCAGCTGCCACAAGCAGGTCTACCTGCGTCGTGCATACGGCTTCACCAGTACCTTCCCTTCTGGGACCCAGTGGCTCCTCTGGCGCCCGGTCTACGGCCTGCAGCAGGCGCCCCGTGAGTGGCATAACAGGCTGCGCGCTACGCTAGCTGACCTGCAGTTCTTCCCGTCGTCAACAAACCCCTCGCTCTTCGTTCGTTTCGGCCAAACCCCGTGCTACATCCTTGTCTACGTAGATGACCTGGTCTTCGCTACTGCAGACAGAGACGCATTGGCCTGAGTGAAGGCTGAGTTGCTGAGGAGACACACCTGCAATGACCTAGGAGAGCTGCACCGCTACCTTGGCCTGCAGATCTCCAGGGACAGAGCAGCGCGCACCATCACTCTCACACTGTCACACTTGGTGCGCCAGGTCCTTGCTTTGTTCGGTCTTCAGTTCTCCTCTGCACAAACCACACCCCTGTCAGTAGACCACAGGCTCGCTGCTCCAATTCCTGAGGAGTCAATAGAGCCCACTGGTCCTTACGCAAAACTAGTCGGTTGCCTCATGTACCTGATGACTTTGTATTCGTCCAGATCTCGCATACCCTCTCAGCATCCTCGCTTGCTTTGTGGCCACAGGGAGACACCGACCACAGCACTGGTCGGCACCTAAAACGGTTTTGCATTATCCAACAAGTACATCTGGCATGGGACTTGCGCTAGGAGGATGCAGGCCAGTGGTCCTTACTGGGCACACAGACGCTTCGTGGGCAGACGACGCTGATACTCTCAGGTCCTCCCAAGGCTACTGCTTTAGCCTTGGTTCAGGTGACATCTCGTGGAGGTCCACCCGCTCGTCATCTGTTGCCGAGTCTAGATGTGAGGCTTAGGGGAAGGCGGGATGAGGGAGGGGAATGAGGAATGAGGGAGGGGAAGGCGGGATGAGGGAGAGGAATGAGGAATGAGGTAGGGGAAGGCGGGATGAGGGAGGGGAATGGGGAATGAGGGAGGGGAAGGCGGGATGAGGGAGAGGAATGAGGAATGAGGGAGGGGAAGGCGGGATGAGGGAGAGGAGTGAGGATTGAGAGAGGGGAAGGGGTAGGACAATGGCAAACTGTTAGTTTGGGGGGCATGGGGATAGAGGTGCACATTTCCTGGGGGATATATATTGGGGGCTGGGGCTACCCTCTCCGCCTACCTCGACACACTGCATGGGCAACCCCCTCCGCCTACGCTCGCCCCATGCCTCGCTTCCTGGCTTGTGGTTTCTTCCCCTAGCTATGCCAACCCTCACGGCATGGTGTATCCTCCCCCCCATGCCTGTGCTTACTGCAACGCCTCTCCGCCTCATCAATCCTCCTACCTATCCCCCCCGCCCTCTCCTCCTCCACCTCACCTCTCCTACTCACCTCTCATACTCACCCCTTCTCCTTGCCTTTCCACCTCACCTCACCTCGCCTCTGTTCTAATCCCCACCTCTCCTCCTCACCTCTGATCCTCCCCTCTCCTCCTCGCCTCTTTGCCCCACCTCGCTTCCTTGCCACTCTGCCTTCCTTCTGCACCTCACCTCTCCACCTCTCCTCCCCACTTCTGATCCTCCCCTCCCCTCCTCGCCTCTCCACCTCACCTCTCCTCCTCCCCCCCCCCCCCCCCTCGTTTCGTTTCCTCATCATCAACTCCGCCTCACCTCTCCGCCTCACCTCTCTGCCTCACCTCTCCGCCTCACCTCTCCGCCTCGCCTCTCCACCTCACCTCACTTTTCCACCCCCCTCCTCCTCACCTCGCCTTCCCACCTTCCTTACTCACCTCTCCCCCTCACCTCTCCTCCTCACCTCTCGTTGTCTCCTTGAATCCCCACCTCCCCTCCTCACGTCCCAGCGCCTCTCCTCCTCTCCTCTAATCCCAACCTCTCCTCCTCACCTCTGATCCTCCCCTCTCCTCCTCGCCTCTCCGCCTCGCCTCTCTTCCTCTCCGCTCTGCCTTCCTTTTCCGCTTCTCCTCTCCTCCTCGCCTCTCCTCCTCCCTTCTCATCCTTACATCTCTGCCTCACCTCTCCTCCAGACCTCTGGCACTCACCTACACTCGTGGCCTACTAAGTAATAATCGCCTCACCTATTCTCGTCGCCTACCCTATTAGAGTCGCCTCACCTATCCTACTGCAGTCTCGCTGCCCGCCGCTACAACTCTCCTCCTATACTCCCCTTTATTCGAGGGCGCACTCTCTCACTCGCATCCTATCTCTCGTCGCCTCCCCTTCCCCCGTCGCGTCCCCGCCCCCCCTCACATCTCATTCCGCGCCTCGTCTCCGATGGGGGCTTTGTCGCGACACCATTCCGCCAGCTTCTTTCCTTGGTGCACATCCATTTATGCGGCGCATTTTGTATCCACCCTCACGGGCGTTTTTCTCTTGCCCATTCCGCCTCGCATGCCTCGCGTAAACTCATCGTCGCTCCTCGCATCTCCTGTCCTAGCCCGTTGTAGATGCGTATTTGGAACCCTTTGTTTCCCGTGTCACCGTCGGCCAAGCATCGCCTCACTTAATCTCGCGGTCGCCAACTTTCCGTCTCGCCGCGCCACATGTTTCGCGCCCATTCTCTACTCTCCTCTCTCACTCTTAGCTACGTATGCCCCACATCGTCGTCTCAGTGGCTCTACTACTAAGTTAGGTCTGCGTTTAGCGGCTGGTGCGGCGATTGATGTTGACTCTGTGGTTTGGCTAGTCCCATATTTCCTCCACTGGCTGTCCCCAACCACCTCGAGTTGCTCTGGGGCTTTCTGGGGCAGCTCTCGTGCCCTGAGCCTTCGGCAGGTAGGTTGTGTTTGCGAAACCACTACAGGCTAGGTTGGTGGAATATTGCGGGGAGGGGGTTGTGGCTTGGGTTACCAACCCGAACTGCCCCCAGATTTATGGGTGGGGCCAGTTTGACTTCTCTAATCTGGGACTTGGGCTTTAACAAGCCCTTTTAACTCAGTGGTTAGTGGCTGAGTTCTGACAGTGCACCCCATGGCCTAATCACGTTGTTTGCCAGAAGTGAAGCGAATAACGAGCCATTAGGTAAGCCATGCTTGTTCTACCATCCAGGATCAGCATCAGCATTCCTGATCGTGGTTCCTGATCCTGCTGTTTTGCAACCTGCAGATCAGCAACCGAGGTGTTTATCGCAAAGTGCTGCCACATGTCCAAAACACATGTGAAGTTGGCGTTGATTTGAGCTCCTTGATTGGTCGCAAAATTTTCTTTGGCTCAAGACACAATCGGGGGTTTTGAACGCTCACAGATTTATTTACGCCCGTTGCCCGCTTTGCGTGCCGTGCTTGCTCTGGACATGCCGTGCGTTACAGTTTCGTCGCTTCCAACATGCGATTCCACGCGGCAATAGGAGCAATCGAGTTCCATATAGCAATATCCAATCGGCAGATACATACGCGACGTGACGTGGCTACAAGCCCGAACTGATCCTGGCGTTTAAGGTTGCCTACCAGGATCAGCTTCAATTTCCGGATCCTGATCCTGATTCTGGACTGTAGGAATACGCCCTTACATCGAAGCTAGAAGCTTGTGTTACCTGTGAATGGTTTCAAAATCACCATGCGTCAACAGTGCATCCATTGTTTTTCATTTTTTTTTTCTGTATTCAATTGTGTTCTACTAGTAGGACCATTGCAGCTAACTACAACAGTGTGGCAAATATTCGTACAAAGCTATATTGTTTTATTAGAGCTGAAAGAAAACAAGTGCGTAGTGCGTTCTTTGTAGCGGAGTGGTAGATTGTGGGAAACCTCATTACGTATTCCTGAGACGACTGGTGGTTGCATCGCGAGCCGCTCGCAGGCCGTCACCACCAGTCAGCCGGCGTTTTGGCAGGCGGATAGGCCAATCAGAATTGTTCAGGAAGACTGTCTTTCTGTGCGGTCTGTCCTGCGTCAGAAAGAGCACTGCTTCCCCTGGCAGACCACCGTGCCGCTCGTCTTGGTGAAAGTCCCATCATCGTCTAGTCTCACGCCTGGCCGTCTAAACAGACGGATATGACTTCCAGCTCACACCAGTCCAGTCCCAATTGGCAGGGAAGACAAGTGCTGAATTGCAGCACTTACGCGGCGCGGACATATTCCCACAATGTGCGACTCGGTTGGTGATGCCCCGAACAGGGCTCACGATTAGTTTTGCGCTACCCTGCAGCTTCAGGGTTCATCTGAGAACAATGCGGATTCATCCGCATTGTCTCGCGTCGTACCCCGTCGGTTTAGACCCAAGTGTTCCCGTAATGTTCGCGGGTTTTAGAACGGGACTCGGAATAAACAAGTACATCCGACTGTTTCCAAAATCCATCTGGAATGTATTGGAGATGGTCCGATACCGCCGAGGTTGATTCCGGCAAATTCCGAAAACGTCTACGAATCTGACGGAATTTTGACGAAATTCCGAACAGTTACCCGTCTATCATGAGCCCTGGCCCCGAACCTCCAAGGGAGCCCTCTGCCGCCGCCAAAGCACTGCCACTCTGCTCCCGCCCTCCCGCCCCCGAACCCAACCCAGCTGGTCAGTCAGGCGCAAGCCACCCCCTATGCCCTGCACCTGTTACGCTTTGCCACTGCAGCTCTCTCCCCCTACCCCGCCTGACCACACCAGACTATTCCACGCGCACCGCCTTTCATTGACCAGCGGAAAGGGGACATTTCTTTACCTCCTTTCCGCTGCCTTTGCGCACGACTGCGCAACGCAGCCCAGGGAAGGGAAGTTGTGAATGTGAGGTGGACGCGCGCGTCTGTCTTCCCCTCCCTTCCCTTCCCCTCCGCGCATCCACACTGCAATCTACGCATGAATGTGGGAAATCGGACGCGCCTGCCTGTTGATTCACAACAGCCCTCATCCCCCTGTAACCCAAGACTTTTCCTCCCCTGAAAGTCGAGACTTGCTAGCAGCTGCAGGACTCAAGCGTAACCTGCCAGATTCCTTGTGCAAGATTTGAAGAACCCCCACCTGGCCTACCTTTCTTGCCTCTGTCGAATAGTTCTCGTCCAATTCCATCTGATAGTTGTAGTTTCTCGACGTTTTCAGACACCAAAAGAAAGCACTGTCCGGCCTGTCCAAAACGGAAAAAGATAAGGATAGATTTATTCAAGACGTCGCGATCGCAGGGCAGATCACACTATCCAGCTTTAGAACGTTCGAACCTTAATAGCCTCCTAGACCCAGTCGGGTTGCGCCCTAACGTCGAAAGGCTGTCAAGCAACTCCTGGCGTATTGTTCAGAATTCTCAACTACTGGCAACGGCGGAAAATTGCGAGAAGGATTGTGACGCATAGCCGGACCGCCTGATTCAGCAACTACCGCTACAGTTTCCGAGAGCAATAATCGTTGAAATGGCGGCTTCAAGAGCGTTTCAACTACTAATAACCGTCGTCTTGACTGCGACCAGCGTGGCGTCGGGTGAGTCTTGATGTGCTCAGCGTCGTCTTCATTGTATCGCGTTCGCGTAGCCTTTTGAGTCCAGCTAACTTTTAAGTCGACTCAAGGGTAATTTTATCGTCTTAGCGTGCCCTTTTGAGTCGGAGCTGCTTTTGTACCGCAAGCGAGAACCCGCGGTGCCTATCCAGCCGTTTCAAACGGACCAATGCGTCGTTGTTAACAGCATACGATCTAAAGGCGAATGATTTGCAATTAAGTTCGAGCCAACAAGTCCGGATCCGGTATCGATAAGCTGCGTCCTTACGGCCCCCTTCCTATCGTACGCGAACGGCTCACATGTGATGCGCAAATCCGCCATCCGCTTACGCTCTGAGCGCCGCGTTTGCTGGGGAAGAGGCTTGTCCGCGTTTGCTGGGGAAGAGGCTTGTCCGCGATTGCTGGGGAAGAGGCTTGTCCGCGATTGCAGGAGCGCCGCGTTTCCGTACATTTTCAGTTCTTTGACCTCATGAACGTCGCTTGTCCTCGCAATTAACGCAATTAACTAATTAATTAATTGCGAGGACCATCTGAATTGACCTCGAAAAGTCACTTGTCCCAAGTAGACGGTCGTGAGGAGTCTATTTTTTAGGCGCCTAAAAAATAAACGTCACTTGTCCCAAGCAGACGGTCGATTGAGTTGGTCCACGCAACTTGAGACATGCTTACCTTAACTTGAGAGGATGTGATATTTCCGCAGCCCGCCTGCTTATCTACTGGCATGCTTGCTACTGGAGCTGGTTTCCGCAACCATGTATCTTAATCTTTCGAAGTTCCTTTTGAGTCGACTCAAGAGTCGCCATGCTTCGCGAGCTGGCTCCGCAAGTGCGGGTGTAGAGCCTCCGCGGCCCGCCTGCTTTCCTACCGGACATGCTTGTTCGCTGCGCTGCGGAACATGCTTGGTTGGAGACCCTTGTCCGGTAGGACAGCTCAGTGAGATGGAGACATGTGGTCGCTGCGCTGGTTTCCGCGACCACATATCTCCATCGCACCAAGCCCCACAACCTCCCGTCCCTTTCAGGAGCCAATAGGGTAAACGACAAAAGCAAGTCAACTCAGCCAAGTCTCTCAATCCCTTCCACAACCTCCCTTCTCTCTTTCAGGAGCCAAACGGCTAAAAGACGGCAGTCGCTGTGTGCTTGCGTCGAACCTACAACCCATCGTCGCGTGCGAAGGCGGACCAGCCACGTGAGTTGTCTCATTGGCCTTCGGCGTCTTCATGCTCTTGCGCGCCTCTTGCGCGCCTCTTGCGCGCCGATCTATCGAGTGGACGAATCCGACTGTTTATCCTGCCAACCGCCTTATTCAACAACTTTTCCTGCCAGCCGCCTCTTTCCGGCTGCTTTACCCGCTAACCGCCTGGTTCCGACTGTTAAGCCTGTTAGCCGTCTCTTCCCGACTTCTTGTGGCGCATGTCCATGGCCGCGAAACTATAACAAGTATAATAACGCGGACATTGAAGCCTGTAGGGTGTACATCAACACATCCATCCCCGATCTTCCCTGTTTCGAATTCGTTCGTCCTTTCAGGTGCCTTGTAACGCGGACGCCAAAGCCCGGAAACCCGTACGGTCGCTTCAAGGGGTTCTGCAACAGCACTTACGAAAGTAAGCCTTTCACTGAAACTCAAAAGTGAGAGGAAAAAAAAAAAACTGGTGTTTTCCGTTCCAGCGGGACGCTGACACCCGCCCACCCCCCTCTCTCTCTACACTCATGACTGCTCAAACAGAAAGTCGTCCAGAACCTCCTCCCTCCCCCATTCTGTGTCATCCCGTCTGCTTTCCTCCCTCCCCCATTCTGTGTCATCCCGTCTGCTTTCCCGTTCGTCCAGTTGCCAGCCGTACTCGCGCCGCATACCCCCGCTGCAGCAGCTGCGACCACCGCATCCCCCGCTGCAGCAGCTGCGACCACCGCAACCGCAAGGCTCAGTGCTGCGTGCTCGTCAGACCTTTCTCGCCTATCCCCCACCCTCTCCTCTCCCCCCCCGCCCCCTCTCTCCCCCCCCCCTCTCTCCCCCCCCCCCCCGGGCCCTCGCCCTCCCTCTCCTTCCCCTCCCTCTCCCACTTTTCCCTTCCCCCCCCAACCATCAGAGGGTCTGTACTGCGCCTTCATGTCTCAGCCGTACGCCGTGGGAACGAGGGGCATCCCCGGCAGCAGCAGCTGCGAGCGCTGCGACTGCAAGGCGGTGCCCGTGGTGATTCCGGGGGACAAGGGGATTGTGAAGCTAGAGGCGCAGTGCGTGTGCCCCAAGGTCATGTGCCGGACGAATTACCGAGGGGCCAGCATCCACCGATTCGAATGCCCGCCGCTGCAGCAGACGTAAGGACCCCCTACTCTCACAGTATGCGTGGTGTGCTTGCATGTATGCATGTCTGCGTGTGCCTCAACTTGCTTTCATAAGGGGATTGTGAAACTAGAGGCGCATTGCGTGTGCCCCAAGGTCATGTGTCGGACCAATTACAGGGGAGCCAGCATCCACCAATTCGAATGCCCGCCGCTGCAGCAGACGTAAGGAAACCCCTCATGGCTTGTGCTATGCCATGCGTGCTTGTAGAAACCCCTCATGGCTTGTGCTATGCCATGCGTGCGTAAATGCATTGCTTTATGTGCCTTATCTAGCTCGTCTCTGCAGTGAATGGGGTGGGCCGAGTAGGGCAGGGACAGTGGTTCTACATGATAAAGATTGTTCTTGAGCCCAGCCAACACGATGCGTCCTCCTTGCGCAACTCTGCAGGTGTCTCATCAATCGGGTGGGCCGAGGCGGCAAGGACAGCGAGGGCTACAGGATTGACGTCGGCACGTGCATAGCGCCTCAAGACGGTGAGTGCTCTTCCCTTTCTCGCTGGTTAAATCCCGCCCATTTCAGTGCCGCTCATGCCAAGCATAGCGCCACAAGAGTGCTGCAACCCACAATGGGCTTGCAAGTTCATTGCGAAATATAGTGGGCTTAAAACTCGCGGCCCAAATTGTTCATACGCAATGCATATGAACTATGAGCCTCGGCCTGGACGAATTACGCGGAAAAATCGTCTGGGTGTTTCACCTCGCAAATTCGCAATTTTTCGTGGACCGTCAGATTTTCTTGCACGCAGTGCGACGGCTGAGATTACATTTCGATTGACTGGGGGAAGCACTTTGCTTGCGCACCGTCAGATGGAAATCCACAAAAAATGGACGGCCAAAACGCGACACTTGATGTCCCAAAATACCTTCCGCACTGAACTTGAAAAACACCCCCGAGTGACGCAAGTCCCGTTACCCCCATCTACACCCACGAAAACGCGACTTTCAAACGCAGTGCATTTGAAGGCCGAGCCTTTCAATTTGGGCCACGGGTTTTAATTGGCGGCGTGCAATTGCTAGCTGGCTTGCAAGTTCAGTGCTAAATATTGCGGGCTTAATTGGTGGCGTGCAATTGCAAGTTCAGTGCTAAATATAGTGGGCTTTGCATAGCGCCACAAGAGTGCTGCGACCCACAATGGTCTTGGTTATAACCACTCTTTTTAACCTTTCCATCCCTTCGCTACTCCCCTCCCCTCACTTGTACCAGTATCATTGATTTTTGCCCCTTCCCTTTTATCTGTAAAACCCTCCTCCCCCCCTCAGCTTTCAGAGCGACCAACTGCAGCAGCGTGGGCCCCACGTGGGGCATGAAGTAGTATGCACCCGGCACCACCAACATCCCCAAGCCTGGTGACATGCTGACTTCACCTCTTCTCGCCTCTTCTTTCTGTCTTTCTCTCTTTCTGTCTCTCCCACTCTTCCTTCCCATACAGCTTTCAGGGCCACAAACTGCAGCAGTGCGAGCCCCACATGGGGCATCAAGTGGTATGCACCCAGCACTACCAACATCCTGAGGACAAATTCATCCGTTCTTCCCACTCAACTTTATCCCTCCTCCCACTCTAACCCCCTCTTACTCCTTGCAGCTTTCAGAGCGACAAACTGTAGCAGTGCGGGCCCCACGTGGGGCATGAAGTGGTATGCACCCGGCACCACCAACATCCCCAAGCCCGGCGATTGGTGCACGCGGTGCAAGTGCGGGCAAAAGGGACTCATCCGGTGTCGCAAGGTGCCCAATTGCACGCCGCCACCTGGCAAATCCGCCACATGATGTGCCATCCGGGCAAAGTTATTTGGGAAATTGACCGTTTGCCAGCTGTCTTGTGTGTCCTAGAGAGGTTCTTGGTGGGGTTAATGGGGGAGGATTATAAGTGTGTTACTCTGAGAACATGCGAGGGTTGACTGCCCGCATCTGGCAAGCCTCTTAGCTTGTCTAGGAAGGGTGTATTGGGGGAATGGGATAGTAAAGCTGCTAGATGTCTCATTCAAGCTTCTCCCCACTCGATGAAGCCTAGGAAGAGGCAGTAGATTTTTTTTATAGAAGTCCTTAGCTTAGTGGGGCTTGTACCATATTGGATGATAAGAACATCCTATGTTTTACCATCTTGCAGAATCTGTAAGAGTGTCTTCCGCCAAGCCGAACCGCACAAAACCGCACGAGAAGCATGCTTGAAAAGACCTGTAGGGAACATGCTCTAAAACAGTCAATTCCATCAAATGATTCGACGAGTCAACGCTTCAGACACAAGCGTGTCGTACAGTGCTGTAAAAAAAATCTTTATACTGTAGAAATGTTATATTTTGATTTTTGTACGCAGTTGAGCTTGTAACCAAGATTGGCGAACCCCGAGAAAACGGGAATACTGACACCTGGTTACGTCTTTAGCCCAGGAATAGAGAAGAAGATGCCCGTGCGACGGTACCAATACGAGTGTTTCGAACATACCTGTCGCTATACTTACGGCTGCAACCAATCACATTCCGAGTCAAAACGAGTCATGCTGAGCACTTGGTAAATTGAATTACTTTTTGAGCTATTCCGCCCGAAACACTAAATAGAGAAGAAGTGTACACGTACATGATCTGATTACGAACGGAGCAGCGTTTGAGCGGATAGAAACGGTACATAAATTTAATGAGCGATTTGACAAGTTTAAAATAGAGAATCGCGTGGTACAGAGTGGTCAAATCAGCTTAGTTGGAAAGTCGCGATCGCATGCACCACGCCCTGGTTCTAACAGCCGTTGCTGTTGGTACTTGGGGCTTGTCAAGATCTGCTGTACACGCGTTGACCAGGGCTGTCGTTATCAGGGTATTTTACCCTGATTCCCTGATTTCACAGGGTATTTTTTTGGCCAACCCTTAATTTTCAGGGTTGGGTTTTTTTGAACCCTAACCTCTTCAGGGCTGTATGTTTGTGAACATTGAAAATTTCAGGGTTTGCGTTATCCCAACACTGAGTTTTCAGGGAGTAACGCGTACGAACCCTGAATGCGACATCCATGCGGACCCTGAGTTTCCTCGAAATGGCCCCCTTACGCGTGACGGGGCCCAGTCCATTGAACACGCCCAGCATGCGTCACGTGGGGAATCTGCACTCGGCAAGATTCCCGCCGTGAACACGCTGTATGTTGCCATTACAGCAACATTTGCAACCGTCAACTGGCATTCGTGACTCAGCACGCAGCAGACGAGGACAGAATATGATGAGCGCGGCAATGTCAGCCTCTGTATGACATCACCCCGCCAATCATCTCTGTGCAGACGATGCCAGCGCAGGTGCGTCTCGCCGTTGACGTTATTGCCATGGCGATACGGGAACCTGGATGGGTTATGCACCATCCATGAAAATCGAAAGATGATGCTTCTTGGTCCTCTTCCCGTCTTCTTCACCAGCTCCTCCTCCAACCCAGTTTTTTTTCTGTTCTTCACGTCACAGCTACGAGATGCTCCAGTCTTCTGTCTCCTCTAGTTTCGTCGCGCCGATTTCTCATTTCCATCATATCCGCTGCTTCTAGCCATGGCGGATGTAGGAGACTCTGGTGAGTCTCGCACTGCCGATGATGGTTCTGGACTAGGTAGGGACCCCCCCGTGGAGGTCCGTAGATCTGCTCTAGACATCTTGTGGTCTCCCACCGCAGTCGTTACACCATCACAACCCGTATCTACTCCCGCCGCTCCCTATGTACCTCCGCCCGCTGTCGCCTCATCTAGCCGGGGCCCTTTGGTTCCAGACTGCGAGACAGCCACGACCGTGCGTTACACGGTCGAGTGTGCGTCGACGATTTCATCTGTGAAGAAAGCATGCGTCGGGAAGTACACCCAGAGCACGATAGTCCTCGGCGGGAAGCTACATCGACGGTCGCCGCCTCGCACGTCGCCTGAACCTCAGGCCCCTGGTATTCCAAAACCCGAGCCGCCGAATCTCTCAAAGAAGGAACTCATCGAGCAGAAGTATCTCATGACTGAGCACAAGTATAAGACCAGCTGGCTTCCATTTTTCCCTTGGCTTCTGCTAACGAAAACGAAAGACGGTTACCCTGCTTTGAAGTGCAGTGTGTGCAAGGCTTTCGGCAAAGAGACAACACCGTACTCCAACAGCTGCGACGGGGCACGTGACCTGCAGACGCAAGCGATGCGGTTCCACGAACACACGACAGCCCACGAAGTAGCAATCAAGCGTCAGATGGAGATCGCCGAAGACATCGCCAGCACCTAGAGACGCATGGAGAATTACGCGCGGACTGACATCGAGGGGAAGCGTGTCATGAGGCTCCTACGCTGCGTCGACTTCCTGTGCAAGTGTGATGCACCCATCAGCATGTACCCGAGGCTACTCCGCTTCATGGCCGAGCAGGAGACACCGGACATTCCGCTGCAGTCTTACGGAGTCTACCTGACACGGTAATGCACTTATTCGAAGTACACTATGTTCTTCATTTTTCATAAAGGTCTAACCAACACCCTGCTGTCACTTCTGCTACTACAGGTATGGCTTCTGTCAGCTCGTCAGCAGCCTCGCAACCTACCTGCAGCGCCGACAAATGCAATACATTCTCGCCTCACCCTACCTCGGCATCAGCTGCGACGAGAGCACTGACCGTACTCGCGGTAAACATCTTATTGTTTATCTGACCTTCTTGCGTGCGCATCGTGTTGTCACAGAGTTTTTTGCTCTCCTGACCGTCGAAAAGTGCGATGCCGCGTCTCTCCTCGCCGTTCTTCTGGCTCACTTGCGAGCAACTGGCATCGACCTCTCCCGAATCACCGGCATGGTCGGCCGAGACAATGGTCTCGTCGCCCGACTTCGCGAGCACATCCCCCACCTCGTCTCGTCGCACTGCATCGCCCACAGGTTTAACCGCTTGTCATTTCAGTCGCTTAGAGTTCCTACAACTGCTTGTCTAAAATTCCTTCGTGTGCACCATGCAGGGAAGCCTTGGCGGTGAAGGACGCGGCCACTGCTTCTCCAGACTTCGACATGGTCGACCTTGTGATTCGGACTCTGGCCGATCTTCTGGGACGTTCCTGTGTCTGGAGTCAACGCTTCAAGTACCTGCAGCGGGCAATACACAACACCAACCTTGAAGTGCAAGGAATTCCCACCGTGCGCTGGCTTTCAAGGGGTGAGGCTGTGAGGCGCCTCTGTAAGGTCCTTGGCGCCGCTATCATTCTCTTTTATGAGTACGGGCATGAGCTGTATGAGGTCGTCATCTGTTACAAGTTCCAGTTCTGTCTTTTTTTCCTGGCGGACGTGCTCGGAGTGATGAATGAGCTCAACCTCATATTCCAGAAGAGGGAGGTGAGCTTCTATCCCTGTTAATGTTGTAGTTTTTGTCCCATGCATCCACGTTTGGAATCACCCTCTGACTCCACTCCCTTGTCTGTCACTTCCATCAGGTCGATGTCACCGAAGTGACAAAGGACATCGACGAGGCGACAGGGGACCTCCGCCACCGCTACTTGGAGTGCGGAGAGGTGTTCGGTGGGGGTGTCGAAGGCACGTGGCTTTCGGCTTTCTTGGCGGTCTACGGGCGCGGAAGGGGCAAACGCGTAAAGGTGCGGGGCATCGACAAAGACGGCAACCCAGTCACACACACCTACACCATGCACGAGAAGCAGATCGACGGGCATGCCTTCCGCAACAAGTACCCCGATTGCGAGCGGCTTTGCGCGCAGTTCGCGAAGGACACGATAAGCTTCCTGAAGACGAGGATGCTGGACCTGAACAATCTCGGCTCGACGAAGCTCTTCCGCGTGTCGAAGTGGCCCCGGATGAAGCAGCAGAGAGAGAAGAAGCTGAAGGAGTACCTACATGGCTGCAGTGCCTTGTTCGAGAACAGGCTGACAGGCTTTTCCTTGCAAGCTGCGCAGAAGGAGCTGGTCACGTGGGCGCCACTGATGCTGAGCCACCATGCCGACGAGGGATTCCATCAAGGCCTGACGAACTACCTCGGCTCGACGGAGTCGACCTTGTGAGAGAGTGCTGCTCGAAGGACGATTGTTGCATTTTTTTTTTGCGCTTTTATTCTTCCCTTTGGATGTTGTTTATCGATTGTTGACTAGCATCGCTAATGCACTGGTCTTGTTCCGTGTACTCTATTCCCCCAACCCTTTTGGCAGTCGCTGGCCCAACCTCATGCGCTTGTGGCAGGCGTGCGCTGTCCTGCCGCTGAGCACAGTGGAGTGTGAACGAGGCTTCTCGCGGCAGAACGTCGTCAAGTCATGGGTGCGGGGCGCGTTGTGCAATGCGCGCCTCAGCGAGCTGATGGTCATTTCCCTGCTGCAGTACGAGACTGACTGGGACGAGGCCCTTGAGTGTTGGCGCGAGAAGCTGAGGCGCCCTGCTAAGTCTGTTCTGTTTGCCGCAGCGGAGAGGAAGCATAAGGCGAAGGCGATTGAGGGGGCAGAAGTGAGGGTGGAGGAGGAGGCAGTCCCCGACTACATGGGGGATTGGGCAGAGGATGAGGGAGAGGGGGAGGGGGGAGTGGGGGGAGAGGCTCCTCCTGAAGTGGAAGACAACCCGTTTCTGTCCGATGACGAGGCAGAAGACGAAGTGAACATGGATGGCCCTGAGTTTTAGTCAAGTGTGGGTAGTGGCGTGGAATCTTGTGAAGTCTAGACTAGATAGAGGACTTGTAAACTGGCGTGGCGTAGTGGTGCTTTTACTTAACTAGTAACTGTACATTCCTAGTTGATTTTTCCAAGTGCAATGCAACCCTGATTGTTGATAGCCAACCCTGGAGATTTCAGGGTTGTAGGTTCCAGAACATTGAGAAATCAGGGAAGTCAAAATTCCAACACTTGGCCCTCAGGGTAATTTTTTTTCCACATTCGACAGCTCAGGGTGCTATTTTTTGAAACGTCAGCCCTGGCGTTGACACCCTCCACCAGAATACTGTACCAAACAGCAGGGGTACCAAGGAAGGGTAAGGAAAGGGTAGTTTTCCAATAAAAATTACCGAAAATCAGGTTCAGCAGCCCTTGAAAAGAATATGTGCTTGGGTTTCCAGGCTAACTAAGGTTGCAACCTAGCCCTATCCAATTTTCGTGCTGTACTGTGGACCAGGGCTCTCTCTAGGATTTTCCCCTTCTCGGACGATCCGGGCCCCTCAGAAAATCACCCTGTAAAATGTGACCTCGTAAAACAATTACCCTGATTCTTCAGGGTCCGTGCTTAATAAGGCCTGATAGGTTATAACCCATCTTTGACGGACAAGATAGTGAGGGTGCAAGTGGGCGACTCGGGGTGGGAAACCTGTTAAATTATATATATTTTATATATAATTGTAGGCTTGGTTGTGCTACTTACTAAATCCTACTGTAGAGGGGACTACCCCCCTTCTTGTATCTCCTTCTCTTCTAGTCCAACCCTCTTCTCTCTTGACATTTTCGTAGCACCTAAAACCTCTCGCCACTTCAATGGCTACTCTACCCACCTAGCCAGGCCTGATTTTATCAGACTATTTTATTCTGATTGTCTGAAATTTCATACCTATTTTTTTGCCGATCCTGATTTTTCAGACTTGCCAATTTATGAATGCTGAACCCTTCAGAGTTATATGTTTTTGAATCCTGAGAATTTCAGACTTGGCAGTTTGTGGATACTGAGTTTTCAGAGCACAGCGCGTACGGACCCTAAGACAGACATACCTCCCTGCCCCCAATGGCCAAAGTCAAGTCCTTTCACACACCCCGCCCCGCAACCTATAAAATCTGGCCATAAAAATCCGTCAAGTCATAGCAGCCAGAGGCAGTTCCTCCCAGCACAACCAGCAGCCCATAAAAATCGTTGAAGTCCTGTTCTAGAGACACCCCTCTAACACCCCCAACACCCACAAAAATCGGCCAAGTCTTCCATTTTTAGAGACATTCTCCCCGCACCCCCTTTCCCCTGATTTTTTTTGTCAAGTCCTCTGAGCGGGTGGCACAAGTCCCTCAACAACCAATCACACACTTGCAAAAACCCATCACAGACAAACTCCCTGCTGCTGTACTGTACACGCATTGGCCGTCAGACCAAAATCACGCAAAAGTCCGAGGTACTGTACCTAGGAGCAATTATGAGGAGCGTGACTGGTCCTTAGACCAAGTACTGTATCACGCTGGTCGCACGAGGAAGGCTAGAGCAGGTACGCGCGAGGGACGTGATTTGTCGTTAGCACAAACTGCGCGGATACAGCAAGTTGTTGGGGTTTCGGCAGTTCCTGAGAACACAACTTTTCCTACGATTACGCGGCGAACTGCAGCCATCGTCACTGATACAGCACGTTTCAAAACCCAGGCCTGATTTGTCAGCTTTACGGAAAATTCAGCCTGAAATTTCAGGCAATCAAATAAAAACTACCCTAACAAAAATGGGTTCTCATAAGGGCAGGCCCGAGCAATCAGCCTCCATAAAACGAGTCTAAGACCCTGGTGTGAACTCTGCAAATACAAGATTCGACTTGGGCGCAGGACTCTGAATCAACATTCTCAACCCTAAGTATTTCAGACTCGTTAAATATTGGACATCGAGATTTCAGAGTATCGAAATTTTGAAAAATGACCCTTCAGACTCGGGAATTTTTTTGGGGGGCAAAATCAGAGTGCCTTTTTTTGAAACGTCAGCCCTGCACCTAGCTCCTTTAACAAAACCCGCCCCCTCACCAGCACCTACGCTGCAGATGAATCACTCACGTGAAGGTGCTATATTTCGGCTAGGGGGCTGGGAAGAAAGGGGGTTTGGTGGGAGGGAAAGGGGGTTTGATGGGAGGAATGGGGCGAGAGTGGCATGGACAATTGTTCCTGGCAGCTCATTTTAAAACCAACCGCTAAACTAAGGGTGAGAGGGAAGAACGGGAAGTTTGACAGATTCCTACATCCCCTGGAGGCTAACTGGATGTTCGGGTCCACTCAAAATCCCCCTGGCCTCCTACGGGTCTGTAGATAAATCCCCTTGATTCTCTCTGGGCTGGGTTGGAAAAAGCCCTGGAAAACACAGGTTCAGCCTTAAAAAAACCGTGGAATTTCAGTCAAATCAGGGCAATTACCCTGTTAACGTGTGCCCTGCTGTGGACCCGCGTCTAGCATGTGGAGTGGAGACTGCAAGCCATTGAAGACTAGCCTCTAGAAACACCAGAATGGACAAAATGACGAAATGGTCAACTGCAGCTTCACCCCATACTTGCTGATCAATGATGAAAAAACGAAATGGCCAATCTTTCTCTGCGGAATACATTTGACAACACACCACCCAAATTGGAATTGAAGAATCCAAAGCAAGTGTAATGTGCCTCGCATCTCTCTACGCCGCTGATAAGACTCCCTTCGGAAGCGTCGTGTCGTGGAGCTAGCCCCCGACGGACCCTGGAACGCAAAAATCGCCATGCAAGTTAGGTCGAACAGACTCCCGAACAAATGCAAATATCGTCACGCAGGTCTAAGAATGCCATTCTACTGCCAAAAGATGTGCTATAGTGAAACAGCCACTAGGTTGTTTGGAGTAGATAGTAGAGTTATGAGGTATTCTTGGAAGAGTTGAAAGGTGAACGTAGCAAGGTAGTTTACTAGAGATCATATGATGGCTTCCAATCAAGAAGCACACCACTATATACAAGGGAAATGACTGAGGCGCCTCGAGAAGGTCGCTCAAGTCGCATCTCACCTTTGCTTAGCTAAGAACAGCAAAGCATAGGTAGTGATTACATGCATACACACTTAGCCTTGCTGGAATTCTAGAAAGTAGCATGCATAGTCTAGGAATTAACTATTGCAGCCTAGACGAGTCTTCCTTGTACTGCTGTTGCTGACGACATTCATAGAAATGATGAGATATAGTTGTGTTGGTAGAAACCATGGATGTAGTTGCTTTCTGCTAGGTGAGCTGTCGATTATTCTGCTGCGCTGCTTGGCTGGCTTGCGTACTCTCTGTAGTTGTTCCCAAGGTTGGAAACTCAGATTGACTGGTTGAACAATTCGAGGTTGCGTTCAACCTTCGAATTGCCCAAGGGTCTGTTCCGAGGATGGGTTTCGACCTCGAAATCAAATTGAGTTGAGTTGGCGAAATCGGGAGTGACGATTTCGCATCTGTCTTGTTACATATAGACTTGGGATATGGAGTAGCATCTTAGCCACTGGCACCGCGACCGTGCAAGCTACCGACAGACGCCTGCAAAATCCGTAATATGATTTTAGGATCTGAAGAAGCGACAGCAAAGCCCCAAGTTAGGCGAGCAGCCAATGGCATTGTTCAATCTGTCTTCGCTATGATAGCTCTCGCTGTTCTGCCATTCTCGCTCTCGCCGGACCGCCGATCCTCTCCTCTCCTCCTGAGTCAGGACCAGATTCTCTCCGCTTTGCCAAAGTCGCCACATTTCGCCACTGTAGTAACTGCTTCGTCCAAGGTTCTCGTGGAACCCGTGCCGTCGGCGACACTAGTAGCCGATTCAGCAGCAATAGTTGAATCCGGGCGACTCTTTGGTGACTGGGTTCGGTCGCATGATTCTCTGCGTTTGAGTCAAGCCGACCATGGCAATCGAGGACTCGCGGTACAAGCAGATCGTGGTCAAGCAGTGGCAGACTGGGCTGGCTCGGAGTCTGAACTGGCAGCATCCTCCGAGTTCGAGCCGGCAGCGTTCTCCGAGCCCGAGCCGGCAGCGTCCTCCGAGCCCGAGCCGGCAGCATCCTCCGAGCCCGAGCCGGCAGCGTCCTCCGAGCCGGAGTCCGCTGCGTCCTCCGAGCCGGAGCCGGCAGCGCCCTCCGAGCCGGAGCCGGCAGCGTCCTCCGAGCCGGAGCCGGCAGCGCCCTCCGAGCCGGAGCTGTCAGCGTCCTTCGAGCTGGAGCCGGCAGCGCCCTCCGAGCTGGAGCCGGCAGCGTCCTCCAAGCTGGAGCCGGCAGCGTCCTCCGAGCCGGAGCCGGCAGCGTCCTTCGAGCCGGAGCCGGCAGCGTCCTCCGAGCCGGAGCCGGCAGCGTCCTCCGAGCCGGAACCGGCAGCATCCTCCGAGCCGGAGCCGGCAGCGTCCTCCAAGTCCGAGCCGGCAGCATCCTCCGAGTCCGAGCCGGCAGCGTCCTCCGAGCCAGCAACAGTTGAGTCCGGGAGATTACATACTGGCTGGGTTATCCAGTCCCAATCTCCGGGTCAAGCTGACCTATTAACGTATCGTGATCAAACGACGACCGCCGATTCTCACCATACTCCTGACGACTCTCGCTCTCCACTCGCCTCGGCTGGCCCTCCCTTACTTCCCGCCGTGCTCTCATCCATCACAGGCTCTTTGCCTCAGGCTGATGGCCCTCCCCTCACTAACCCTCCTCCCTCCAACCCTCTGCCGATCCTCTGGGCCCAAATCCCGGGTTCTGTGCTGGATTCTCCCACAAAGATCTGGAGCTTCCTGGAGAGATTCGAGTGTATTGACCAGGAGGGAGAGTGGTCGCACGACGCGACCCCACGCTATCTACCATGGCCGGACGACACAAGCATATGCGACTGGCACCACCTGAATAAAGGCTCTTGGAACGTGGCATTTTGCAACGCGGATCGTGTAGCTGCACGGATGGAAAAGGTTATGGCTCAGATAGGGAAAATTAGTAGTAGCGATCGGCCGGCGGGGACAGGGGCGGCGATGCAGCTGGCTGACCAGCTTGAGCAGCTGAAGTAGTGGCAGGGCGATCTTATTCGCCAATGGACGGCTAGAGAGACACTCAAGTACACATGGACGGTTCCAGGAATCGGACTAGAGGGAGCAGACGGTGGTGTTTCAGGCAGCAAGTGCGGTGGACCTTGGGAACCGTTCGATCCGCAAAGGTTTTGCTGGATAATGGATGGGAGGAGCGTGCTTACAGTGGGTGACTCTATAAGCTTGCTTCTAGCAGATGCGATCAGATTCCTGTTTGTTACATGTTTTGGTCCGGTGTGTTCCATCTAATGGCCACTTTCCAGTTTGTTACATGTTTTGGTCCAGTTTGTTACATGTTTTGGTTTGGTGTGTTCCATCTAATGGCCACTTTCCATGCATATGTGGTCGACCCTTTACATTGGTTGTGGATGTTTGCTATTCAAACGGTCAACTTCAATAAGGGGAAATTCTTTCGGTTTCGGTCTCGATTTCATACCCTAACAATACCAACCCAAATTGTACTTGTTTTCTACGCTCATAACTCAGGAATTATCTACCAATTGTGTGTGTGTGTGTGTGTGTGGGGGGGAGCGCTTGCATATGCGATTGCCACCTCAGTGCCTGCACGACCACAAAATGGAGCCTAAGCCCAACGCACAGCCGACTATTCGGTCCCAGTGGAGTTGGACGAACTTCGATGCGAGCTGGACTACCTGTTGGAGAAAGGACTCGTCTGCCCCAGCACCTCTCCGTTCGCTGCCCTGAACTTGTTCACCTCGAAGAAAGACCCCAGATTACGAATGTGTACCTACTACCTCGCTTTGAATTGGGTTACCATCAAGTCTCGTTATCTAATCCTGCGTGCCGACGAGCTCATCGACCAACTTTGTGGGGCCCGGTTCTGCGAGGCGGCTATCACCGAATTCGCGTGGACAAAGCAGACTACTACAAGACGGTGTTCCGGGCCTGGTACGATAGTTATGAGTACACCGTTATGCCATTTGGCCTAACAAACGCGCCTTCGGCATTCGAGTTGACCATGCATGAAAATTTCCGGCCACTGATAGATAAGTGTGTCATCGTGTACCTCGACAACATCCTAGTCTACATCACTACCCAGGAGCAGCATTTGAAGGATCTGGAAGCCGTTTTCTTACTCCTGCAGCAGAATCGACTCATCACCAAAGGCTCTAAGTGCGAGTTATTAAAACACGAGGTAGAGTTTTTGGGCAATGTAATCTCCATCAACGGCATTAAAATTTGACCCCAAGAAGATCCCTACGATCCAGGACCAAAAGACGCTGGCTAATCTCTGCAAACTTCAGTTTTTTTGGGGGTTCGTAAATTACGTCCGATGGTTCATCCCGAACATGGCGGGGGTAACCTCCCCTCTAACAGATGTGCTGAAGAAGGCCACCTTTTTTTTAGTGGGGGGGAGAGCAGTAGGCTGCGTTCGAAAAGCTCAAACATTTCCGGACTAAACCTCTGGTTCTTTGGATTGCGGATCCTCACCGTCCATTCGAGCTCATCACCGACGCTAGCGATCTTGCCGTCGGCGCTGTGCTGAAGACTTCGGCAAAGGCCTACAACCCATTGCCTATGAGTCACGGAACCTGAACCAGGCCGAGCGAAATTATCCTCTCCATGACAAGTAATTACTCACCATCGTTCACGCTTTCGAAGTTTTGCACTGCTACCTGACCGGCGCTGACATGATAGTCCGAACAGACCATAAGTCGCTGCAGTTCATCCGCGCCCAACCGACACTGAATCTCCGACAGATTCGGTGGCTCGACTACCTCGAGTCAAACTTCCACTACAGAGTCACCTACAAACGAGGGGTTAGCAACATTGCTGATGCACTAATCCGCCCCTCGGTCCACATTGCCGCCGTCCTAATTACCCAACCTAATCCGTTGCTAACTGACCTATTCACCCACGAATACAGTACCGACCCATTCTTCACCACTAACAGCCATCCCCAACTGACAGCCAGGCAAGGGGCCTATGATCTAAAATCCAGTACAAATAGGATTTGGGTTCCCTCCTACCGCACCCTGTGGGAGTTACTGATACATGGGGCACATGACTCGAATTTCTCGGGTCACTACGGCATCGACAAAACCGCCAAATTACTGAGCCGCCATTATTACTAGCCGGACCTACTGATGGACGTGCAGTGGTATGTCACCTCGTGTGCCACGTGTGAATGCATGAATTCATCCCGGCTCTGACCTGTTGGATTGCGACAACCGCTTGAGGCACCCAGTAGACCTTGGCAACAAGTGACAATGGATTTCGTATTAGGCTTGCCAGCCGGTCCAAGTGGTTACGACGATCCTTGTCGATGTCGACCGCTTGATGAAAATGGCTCATTCGCCGCATGCAAAACGACAATTACAGCCGAATAGACAGCAAAACCGTTCCTCATGAACATCGTGCGTCTACACGGCATCCCGTCGGCAATAATCAGCGATCGCAATCCTCGGTTCATGTCCAATTTTGGACAAAGACCTGAGAGCAGTACGGCACACATCTGCATCCGTCCATGGCCTACCACCCGCAATCGGACGGACAGACTGAATGCACCAATCAAATGATGGAGCAGTTGATTCGCACGACATGCACAGGCTCGGCTCCATGGGAAGATCTCTTCCCTTGATCGAGTTTGTGTATAACAGCGCCCCATCGGCCACTACTACTCAATTACTATTCTTCCTCAATTACAGGATAGATCCGGCAACCCCTCTATCGCCACCGATTGAAAAAACAGCACCCAGATCTCAGCAGTTCGTTGAAAATCTCTGATGTTCTTAGCAAAAAGTTGCCGATGCCATCACCAAAGCCAACCAGACGGCTTAGCAGCAAGCTGATCAGCGCCGCCAAGACTAAACACTTGCCCCTGGGCAATTGGTCCTGCTCGACACCAAGAATTTGGGAATTCCCCTCCCAAATAAATTACGACCAATATTTTGTGAACCATGCCGCATTACTTGAATGGTGACACCAGTCACCGCCCAGCTGCAGCTGCCTGCTGAATGGCGAATCCATGATTCATTCCATGTTAGTCTTCTGTGGCCGTTCGTCCCGGATGCTACTAATCTCGTCCGTCAACAGATCAATCCGAGACTAGTAGCATCCCTGTACCCGAGCCAACGACAGAGCCGACCAAGATTCTCGCTCATAGCCTACGAGGTTGTCAAGATACAACAGCTGTTGATTTCCTTGTACGCTGGGTTGATCGCACGAGTGACAACGACCTCTGGGTCCCCGAAGCAATGCTCGGTGATCACAAAATTGTTCAGGACTATTCACATTGACGATTTTTCCCGAAAGTGGGTCGTCTCGTCTCGAAAGGGGGGGGTGGTGTAAGGAAGTTCCCTTTTCCTTACTTGGCTCGACTACAGCGCGTGCGCCCTCGACTCTCGGAAGTCCAAGCTCGGCCAACTTCTTCAATCCTGGACCACTTAGCGAACCCAAACCTCGACGCGTGGCGCTTCCGTAGCTTTCGTCAACCGAACCGCCCCAACCTGTTTGCGTGGTTCTCGGCTAGCCCTGTTCGTGCCTATAAATGCCTAGGCCCTTATTTGTATCAACACTCTTGAACCACGATTCCGTTATTATACTACCTGCTGTTACTATGATCAATTCATAATAGGGTATTAGGGGTGAACTTGCAGAGTAGCGTGGAATGAGATATCGAAGTAGTGGATAACTGAATGATGATACAATGAGTGGCGAGGCAATATATAGGAACACCTGAGCTATCCTAGTCTTGAGATGGGAAGGGTCGAGAAAGGGATCGAAGGGCCTTGAGAGGTCGTCGAGAGGCCTGGAGAACTCCCGATGGTTTGTCCCAAAGGTCTTGAGTAATGTAGAAGGTTCGGATCGAAAGGGACGGAACCGACCCAAGGGTTAACACGTCTTCGAGTGTACGCGATAAGCAGTACAGCCCGGTAAGGAATGAAATTCCTTACACTTCCCCCCCTTTTAGCAAAGGTGATCTATATTAGTTACGTGCTTGCGGGATAAATAGTCCCCAAGTACCAAATGTGACAGTACCTGATCCGAGGTTACCCACGTGTCGTCCTCGCTGGTACGATTGATCCATCGTATCAGAAAATCAATGTGTGCAATCTTGACCATTGACTCGCACACGACGACTCAGGATTTTCATTAGCTCGGTGACTGGTTCGGCTGGTGGCGAGCAACGTCCGATGTGTCGGTGACGAAGGGTCGTAAAAGGCGGACATGGAATGAATTGTGAATTTGCCAATCGTCAAGCAATCACAACTAGGCGGTCACAGGCGTCAGCATTTTGAGAATCTTGAAAGGTCCACAGCAACGAGGTCGCAACTTTGTTGGTGTGTGCAGGTGCAAATTCTTCGTGTCCAAAAGGACTAGTTATCCAGCTGCCATGGTAGTAGCTCGTCTGTGTAAATCGGTGTAGCGCCGGTCAGCGATATTTGCTTTTCGAATAAATTCGATAGCTTTGTCGCGGGATTTTTGAAGATTATCCACGAATTGCTGCGATCTTGGAACTTGGTTTTTAACGTTGGTGGAGATGGGGACTATTGGATCCATCCCATGATTCAAGTAAAATGGATCGCATTGTTGTACAAAAATTCCAACATGGGAAGCACGTCCTCCCACATGCGCGTGTCGGGACAGTTCGTACGAATCAGCTTCATCGTCTGCTTGGTCCGCTCTGTCTAGCCGTCCGTTTGGGGGTGATACGCTGACGAAAACTGTAGTCGTGTGCCGTATCAAGCCCACGTGTCATGTCAAAAGTTTGATGTAAATTTCGGGTCCCTGTCGCTATTGATCGCCGAATGGATACCATGCAGGTGGACGACGATCGAGATGAACAGGCGAGGAGTTTCTTTGGCTGTGATTGTCGCACGACATGGCGCGAAATGTGCCTTCTTTGTGAGTCGGTCGATGACAACTAGAATTGCGTCGTTTCCGCTCGGTAAAGCCGGCAGGCCCGTGACAAAATCCATTGTCACGTGTTGCCAGGGTCGTTGGGGTGGCTCGAGGGGCTGAAACCGTCCTACTGGCCGCGGGCATGATGATTTCATGGTCTGGTAGATTGGACATGCAGCCACATATTTTTGCATGTCTGTCGTCATGTCAGGCAAGTAATAGTAACGCTGCAGTGC